AAGTGTATGTAAGTAGAGATGTCAAGTTCGATGAAGATGGAATGTGGGAAGAAAATCTAAAAGAAGAAGCGAATGTTCGTGATGATTCCGATCAAATAGAGTTGAAAGATCAACCTTCACCTTCTTCTCCAACATCTTATTCAAGTTCATCAACACCATCCTCTTCAAATAGTGTCGATGAACCGCTAGTGCCAAGATCAAGAAGATTGTCTGAAATTTACGAAGTTACCGAAGAGCTTCATCTTATATGTCTTCTTGCAGATTATGAACCACTTGCTTATGATGATGCGGCCAAAGAAGAAAAGTGGAGGAAAGCCATGAACGAAGAAATTGAAGCCATCGAGAAAAATCAAACATGGGAGCTTGCTAATCTTCCGAAGGACAAGAAATCAATTGGTGTTAAATGGTGTACAAGACCAAGAAGAATGAGAAAGGTGAAGTAACAAGGTACAAAGCTAGATTAGTAGCGAAGGGGTACAAGCAAAAAGCCAGAATCGACTATGATGAAATTTTTGCCCCTGTCATCCGCATGAAAACGATTAGATTGATTATTTCCATTGCTGCTCAAAATAATTGGCGGATTTATCAAATGGATGTCAAATCAGCATTCTTGAATGGCATCCTTGAAGAAGAAATTTATGTCGAACAACCCGAGGGGTTTGTTGTGAAAGGTTATGAAGGCAAAGTGCTAAGGTTGAAGAAAGCTCTATATGGGCTTAAACAAGCACCGAGAGCATGGAATTCCAGAATTGATGCATATTTCAAGGCGAATGGATTCTCTCAATGTCCATACGAGCATGCACTCTATTTGAAGCAAGAAAAATGTGATATTCTACTCTTTGTTTATATGTTGATGATCTTGTTTTTACGGGAAATAATTCGGCGATGATTGATGCTTTTAAGGCATCGATGGTGAAAGAATTTGAGATGACCGATAATGGTCTCATGAATTATTTCCTTGGTATCGAAGTGAAGCAAAGTGCCGATGGGATTTTTATTTCCCAAAAAGGATATGCAGAAAATATCCTTGAAAAATTCAACATGAAGAACTGTATGTCGGTCAATACACCAATGGAGTGTGGAACCAAGCTTTCGAAGTTTGATGATGGTGCCGATGTTGATTCGATATATTATAGAAGCTTGATTGGAAGTTTGAGATACTTGACATGCACGAGACCGGATATTATGTATAGTGTTGGAATTGTTAGTCGATACATGGAGAAGCCGAAATCATCTCATCTTAAAGCTGCAAAGAGAATACTTCAGTACATCAAAGGTACTATTTCTCATGGTTTACACTATTATTGCTCTGAATCTTTTAAACTTAGAGCTTATTCGGATAGTGATTATGGTGGAGATATCGACGATCGAAAAAGCACCACGGGATTTGTATTTTTCTTGTGCGACACTGCTTTCACGTGGTCATCAAAGAAGCAATCAAGTGTTACTCTGTCGACATGTGAAGCTGAATATGTAGCTGCATCTTCATGCGTTTGTCATGCAATATGGTTGAGAAGACTACTCAAAGATATTCTTATGGAGCAGAAGAAAGCAACGGAGATTTTTGTTGATAATGTTTCTGCTATTGCTTTGGCGAAAAATCCAGTTTTTCATGAACGAAGTAAACATATCGATGTTCGATATCACTTCATCCGAGAACAAAGTTAAAGAGAATGAAGTTGAAGTATTGCATGTGAAGACCGGAGATCAAGTAGCGAGATATTTTTACTAAACCTCTCAAGATCGATGCTTTTCGAAAGTTCAAGAGCCTGCTTGGAATGATCGATGGAAGAGAATTTGGTTTAGGGGGGAGTGTTAGAAATTAAACCAAATTTGTTAGTACTTGTTTCCTTTTTGAGTCTGTTCGTATTTCCATATTTTGATAGATATTGTGAGATATTGTTTCTAGTTATATTTTAGGAAAGTTTCCTAAGTCAATTATATTTCCTAATTAGAATAGGTTTCCTAGAAAGAGGTTTCCTATTTCGAATCAAACTATGGTCTATATATAGTCTATTTCTTTTGTAATTAAGACATGCAATAGAAAGGCGCGAATTGCGATCGTTTCACCTTCAAAAATTTCTTCCATCAAATCAATATTGTTGCCGTGCCTCTGACGCTCAACATGCATTACCTGCACAAACAATGTCATCAATGTGTGATCCATAGGGATATCAAATCTAGCAATATCATACTCGATCAGAAGTTTGTGGCCAAATTGGGAGATTTCGGCTTGGCTAGGCTAGTTGACCACACCAGAGGGCTAAACTCAACCCTAGTGAAAGGAACGCCGAGTTACTTGGCTCCGAAATGCTATCAAACGGGCAAGACAAGTAAAGAATCCGACATCTACAGTTTCGGAGTGGTCCTCCTGGAAATAGTATGTGGGAGAAGAGTTTTCGACTTGGAACTAGCTGAGCAAGGCCTAGGCCTTTTTCAGTGGGTTTGGAAGCATTATCGGTGGAGGGGCCGGCGCAGGAATTTTCTCCTTACTGTGGACCAGAGGCTCGGCAAGGACTTCAACAAGAAACAGGCAGAGGCCTTGATGATGGTGGGGCTGTGGTGTGCTCATCCCATTGCTGGGTCTCGGCCTTCGATTGAAGAGGCAATGGCTGTTTTGAACTTGAAGGCAAAACCTCCCAAACTCCCCTCAAAGATGCCGAGTTTCAGCATATAATTAACCCGAAGGTCTGGTCTTAGATGCGTTTGGCTTTATGCAAATGCCTCGCTCTGTAAAAAGAAAAAAAAATATGCCTAAATGATGTCTATATTTATTTTTCGAAAATGATGCTATTTAAGTGTGATGTATGTGAAAATCACCGAAATAGAGGTCATTCTCGAAAAGCTATTGTACTCGCCTTCTTAGTCATTACTGATAGTAATGTTGTACGGTACTTAAAATATTTATTTAGATTAGATCACGTCGAATAGTGTCATTTCAAGAGGGATCTCGAGTTGCTATTGAGATTTTACTCTTATGAACGAAATGAATTGCGATGGCGAAATGAGCCATCACAAAAAATGAGCTACTGCATGGGAATCTTTGTTGCCATTGGGGTGAAAGGAACAGGGAATAATATTCCTAAAATTTTGAACCAAGTAGTGAAATAGTTGATGAGAATAGAATAAAAATAAAATGGTTATGTCCGTCATCATGCGAAAGGGACGAGCCGCAATATTATACAGAAATGAAGATAGCAGTTCAAAAGATGGTAAATGCATGTTTTAAGTAGTTTCTCATGTCTTTGGCAAAGAGAGAAAAAGGAAAGTATTTTCATATGTCCTTTGGATGGTGCACATAATTTTTTAGTGTCCACGTTGTCACGACCTTCCCGAACGGTGTGCCAACTAAGGATTGGCTAATTGATTACTAAGTTTAAATCTAACTCGAACTCTTTCAAGTCTATATCAATTCACGACTTAGGCTCAAATTATTAACATGCAAATCAATTTTATTTAAGAGTCGCCACTAATTAGTTTTCGGTAAATCGATTAGATACACAAGTAAAGCATGAAAGAATTACTTTACTTTTACGAACCATAGATTCAATGAATTTGGGGACTTGATTCCACTAATTAATCAACTAGCAGCCTTCTTGCAAATCATGAGTCATAATAGCACAACTTAAAGGGAAACATCAATCAATTTATTGAAAGTGCGCAAACAAGTAATAATCGAGATAGAAATACGCAAACAATGACCTAGCACTTATCTCTAAGAATATTCAAAACCCTATTGGAAAGCCTTAAAAGCTTGTTTCATTTTGAGTATGATTTTTTTTATCAAAAGATTTTCACATAAATCTATTTTTTTAAAGCTTTTCCTAATTTTTAGAAAAAATAAAAATTTTGGAATTTTTAAAAAAAATTAAATTATTAAAACTTCGGCCCTTTCCCTTCCTTGCTCAACAACGTGCATCCAAAAAGCCAAGCCCTGCGGCAGAGCACAGGGGACCAGACTTTCCATGTTGCTTTCTTGGGATTTTCCCGGTGAGGCCCACCCCACCTGCAATGCCCACCATTGTCCATTTGCAAAAGGGGCGGCCATCAATTATTGTCGTGCGCAGGGCTTTGATATTTTTCGCGTGTGCGCACGTGGTTGGATCCTTTTCACTCGGTTCCTCGTCTACAATCATTTGTGCTGAATCAGGTTTTTCAACAGCACGTGGGGCCCTTTTTACACTGTCACAAGCAACGAAACCACGAGGCGCTTTCCGTTTCCCACCGCCCTCTCCTCTCGTGCGCGTTGTCTTGACACTATCGGTATTTGGATCGAATACGTAATCCATTTGCGAGCGCCGTGACGTTGCTCACCCAGCTATTGACGGACGTGTACGCGCGCGGACCAAGCATTAACCAAATCGATTTCTCTGTTCATCTCGTGCAAACAATCTCATGTACGTGCCACCCTTCCGGACTCTGGCTCCATGGCCCGCAAAATCAAAGGGGGTATTCCATGAATTCGTGGTTCGTGGGCTAAGGACACGATTTAGGTGGCCTATGTGGATAAGTACGCATGATAGTAGATTCACATAGCTGTACAACTTTTCCCAATAAAGAATACATACCAATACTAGGAATGTCAAAATCAAACCGAAAAATTGAACCGAGATACGAACCGAGTCAAAAATTTTGTGCATTTCGATTTGGTTCGATTTTCAGTTTGAATAATCAAAACTAACCATTTTTGTTTTTTAATTCGGTTTATTTCAGTTCAGTTCTGATCGAAGTTCGAAACGGAACTCCGAACCGAACTGAAAATAACCTTATAAAAGGGCTAAAACTAAAACTAGAATGGGCAGTCATTTCTCTCTCTAACGCATCTCTTTTACTGTCTCTTTCTCTCTCTATTTCTGCAACTCTCTTCTTCATCGGCTGTCACTCGAATCCTCCGTTTTCTTTTGCTTGCTCATCTTTATCACCTCGTCGTGGTCAGCCACGTCCTTCACTTGCTTCGTTTGACTGGTGATTGCAAGAGACCAAAGATAAAAAAAAAAAAAAAAAAAAACACATATGGTACTTTGACCAAGCAGTAACAGAACTTAAACGAAGAGAAACATGAAACCCACAAAAGGGGAGAAGGAAACGGAAGGGAATTTCTACTATTTCTCGACCCAAGGTTGAGCTCTGCAAAATCGGCGCCATTCTTGAACTCCTGAAGAAGAAACCCTCTCATTCCTCCTCTCTCTCTCTTCTGTGAGAAATTTTCCAACTCTAATTGATAGATTGAGCTCTGCAGCAGCACGGCCCTCGCAGAATCGGAGCAAAGGACGGCGCTCCGGCACATCGTGTTTGTAATTGCCGCCTCGGCCAAGCTCTGGGAATAGAAGAAGCTGAGCCGTGAATAAAAAGCAAAAAAAAAAGAAGAAAGAAAGAAAAGAAGAAGCCGAAAATCAAACCGAACCAAATTAGTTTTTCGGTTCGATTCATATTCGGTTCAAGCAAGATTCGATTCGGTTCAAAAGTACACCCTTAATGATTTGATTCGGTTCGATTTTGTTGAAAAATCAAATCAAACCGAACCGTTTACCCACCTAACCAATACCTGACAAAAGCTGGAGTGGTTCATACCACTCCATCCTAAAGACCTAACCTTGGCCACCCTTTCCAAGATTTTGAAATGTCAAAGGACCCAATATGTACTTCTAGATTAACGACAGATCACAGATTAACAACCATGAGAAGATTGTAGCTGATTTCTTGAACGTTCTTCAACCAGAGAACATAAATTCATTAGTTTTCTTGATGTCCCTCTTAGCAATTTGAAGACTTGACTAGCAGCAGTTGCCGAAAAAAAAGAACAAAATGAAACGTCATATCAGATTACATGTGTGAATACTATGCTGGAGTTGGGCCATGATGGGATACATTTCGTCACTTCCTCCACAACAAGCACGAGGAATGAAAATCGCTGGTCAAATTGTAATCTTGTGGGAACACTCAACGAAAGAGGCAGACGCCGGGTGAGTACCTCACCCAGCGACAGCAAGGTTGAGCCTCGCTAGTGGCCTGCGAGGGCGATCCTTGCCTCTAGTTTCGGCGACCTACTAGAGGATCAAGATGAAAGGAAGAAAAAAAAAAAAAAGAAAGGAAAAAAGAAGGGAAAAATAAAAATAAATAATTCAAAAAAATATTCAAATATTATTAAAAAATTATTCACGTTAGCGCTGTCCGCGCAACGTAGGACGATTGGCGTCCATGTCAGTGCCGGCTATCCAAAATTGACCGGATGGACTCAATTGACACAAATGCAAAAAGTTTAGGACTGGATTGACAAAAAAATATTTATGATTGGATTGGCACATTTACAATAGGTTTATGACTGTTTTGGTAATTTTTCCCAAAACACAGCCTTTCTCATTCATTACTAGTAGTTATGTTGTACGGTACTTAAAATAATTATATAGGCTAAATTAGTCGAATAGTGTCGTTTCAAGAGAGACTCATATAAACAAAATGAAGTGCATTAGCAAAATAAAGCGAAATTACCAAATGCGAGTTTAAAATGGATTTGAGGTCAATATTGCCACCTCTAGTTAAAAATGAATGAGAGCACTCAAGCAAATCTCCCCAAAGTGAATTGGTCAAAATTTAACGTTTATAATTTTCGCACCTTAGTAATTTGAATTTTCTTCCCTCTAGAAATACAGCAAATTTGTTTTCTTTACAACAACTCCCACATAACCAATTACAAGTAGCTTTTTCACAGCATTACCATCGCAAAATCTCACTTAATTTTTAGCGCGATTATATAGTAAGCTATCAAGAGTTAGCCTGTGGCTACTGACTCGCCAAAGAAAACATTATAAGTTAAGTCGCGTGGATGGTTAGATCAGAATTTATATGCATCAAAAGAATTTGGTTTCTAGTAGAATATCTTTGATTCACCGCACAAGCTACTTTTCCGCAACCATTGGCTGTTCTGCTCTTGTACCTTCTTCTATGGAGAAAATTACTAACTGATGGCGAAAGCGAAATAGAATAATGTCGCGGTCATTCAGTTATGTAGGTGGTATGTAGTAGGTATTATGATTAATTAATTCATGTAGTGAATTTAAAACGACTTGATGCCGCAAAGTCCACAAATTCCCTGAAGTGGATGACAGAGAGAGCGAGAGAGAGACCGGACGTTTGTTGCCATTCCATACTTTCTCTCTCGAAAAGATCATTAGCCATAAAGCAATAATTAGTAGCTACGTAGACGTACTCATAGGCTAGGCCGGGCCGGTTGGACCCGGCGAGCCTTAAGATGATTCGGACGAGTTTGATCGAAAAGTATTTGACGGAAAAACCGGATTCGCGATAGACCCAAAATCTCAATACGATTTCTAATGACGAGCGAACATGAACAAATAAGAATTTGAGTTTTTGAGTTGCGTTTTGCACCCTCTTTGCTCTTTTTTTGCGAGAAACATCGATAGAAATGCATAGTAGAGGATGAGATTAGATGCCCGCGAAATTCATATGAGCAGAAACCGATTTATAAAGTTTAAGCTAGCGGTGAAGGCACGAGGCTTCCTAATGAACAGGGGTTCGACTTTGTAAATCATGCGGGTGCAATTCGATCATCCTGCTAAAAGATCTGTAGAGTTCTCCTCCTCCTTTTTTTTTTTTTTTTATCCCTTGCTGTCTTTTGCTTCGCTAAAGACGACAAGCATTCTCGATTAATTAATTGTAAAGCTCCTCTTGTCAGCTGCTTGTATATTGATGGGACCAGCGAATGCGTAAGCGCTTACGCAAAAGTCATACGGGTCAACCAGGCAGTCGTTTGACCAAAAAAAAATTCAGGCAGTCTTTTAATAATAATTAAAGTACATTCCGAAGCCTCTCACAGACTGGAATTAGAAAAACCTTGTGATGGGACCAGCGAATGCGTAAGCGCTTACGTAAAAGTCGTACGGGTCAATCAGGCAGTCTTTTAATAATAATTAAAGTTAATACTAAAACAAATCCAAAACTAATATATATGTAATAAAATTACCCTAATTTAATTTTTCACCATAAAAAATTCCAAACTGATATACCTCTAATAAATTTATCATAAATTAATTTTTTTACTATAAAAAATCTCAAACCGGTACATTGATAACAAATTTACCCTCTATTAAATTGGATTAATACCACAAAAAATCACAAATTAGTAAATATGTGACAAACAGAGGGTAAAACCCTAAACTGATATACTCGTCAATTGCCACATGTTATCAAACTCAAAAATTTGACGATAAAATTTAATGGAAACTAATATAGAGTAAAATTGTTATAAATATAACAATTTAAAGTTTTTTGTACTAAAAAATTAGCTTAAAATAAATTTATTATAAATATATTAATTTAAGATTTTTTGTGATATTAATTCTAATGATTATTTTGTGGAGAAATGAGAGCAATACGCTCCCATAAAGTTTTGGAGAGCGACGGCTTGCTATTCACTGGATAACTTGCTCTTCCGGTCACAAAAAAGTTGTGGCCTCTTAACATATGATAAGCTTCCAAAAGGTTATTTAGTTTTAGGTTACGCTTACCTCAACGGAAAACCTTAATGATCATGGCCACTACGCCTACATATTAATGCAATAACTTATCAAAGTAAACAATTTGTGACATGTAATTATGATCACATGCATTGTCAATAATGTGTTTTATTTTATATCATTGACGAAACATTTCAAGGTATAATATGTGAAATCATCATAAAATTATATGAACTACAATTTATGAAATGGATTTATCTCATTTTATATCTTTTGAAACTAATAGTTATAAAATATTTATCTTGCCCTTTGGAACAATTTTTCATACATTGTTGCTGCTTGGACTTAAAGTTGTCTCATACAAACAGATTCGGAAAATTGTCCAAAAAGTTCAAAACCTATTGTACGATGGCCAATTCAATCTTAAACCTTTCAATTGTGCTAATTTAGTCATAAACCTTTTGTCGATTTTCCAATATAGTCCTTCCTGCTAATTTTGGCCGAAAATCATAGATGTGGGTGCTAGACGTCTTGTATAGCACGGTCAGTGCTGACATGAAAAATTTTACAATATTTTTTAATTTTTTTTTTAAATTAATTTTAATTTTATTTATTTATTTTTTCCACCGTTAAGTGTCACCATTCTAAATTTTTTTTTAAAAATTGCAAATATTATCTACATTAGCGTTGACCATACCACGTAGGACGACCGGTGTCCACGTAAGTGATTTTTGGCCAAAATTGGTTGGAAAAACTACATTGGCAAATTATCAAAAGTTTTGAGATCAAATTATTACAATTGAAAAGTTTAGAATTGAATTGGCCTTCATACAATACGTTTTGAACTTTTGGGACAATTATGCTCGAATAGATTTGTACCTTATTCATATTCCTCTAGCTTAAAATGCGTGCAATCTTTCTAATTCATATTTGTTAGGATTGCAATGAGGTGGATTTAGGACGGTTGACTCTATTTCATCGAAAATGGTCAATCCTAAATAAAGATCGAGCCTGTCCTCAATCCGGTTTGGATTCCAAATAAGAATCTCAAATACATCCCTCTTAAATATGCGGGAGCCTGAAACTTAATTAATTCACATATTTGTATATTTTGAATGTATAGATATATCAACTAAAAAATGAATTATTACCAAGATAAGTTAGTGCTCCACAATCCAATTCTCGAAAACCAATTATTTTTATAAGCTGCAATTGGTCATTTGAATTTTTTTGTCGGATGGAAAAGGAGTAATAAGATAATGATGATATTTGTAATATATTTTGTCGAATCAAGTGGCCATTCTCTTAGCTTACGTGACCAGAGTTGCGATTGTCACACAACCTTCGCTTGGTCAAGCAACCACCGTGACTCTCACAGTGCGGCTAGCAATAGAGAGAGAATAACAAGACAACTACTCCGTCCATGAAGACAATTGCTCGCTCGGCGCCTCACCTCGATTGCCGTAGCCGTCAACCATCGCATGGCTCCTGTTGCTGTCTAATCTCGCAGTTGTAACTTCACCACGACAATCACTATCGACCAGAGTCACGAGTTCTCTCCACTGCGGGTCTGTCCACGTCTCTCGCCAACCATTATTCTTTGTCATCTTCATCAGCAGCCTTCTATTGTCATTGTTGTAAGCTGTCCTTCTGGTGTCATCGCAAGCTCATGCTCCACTTGACAAGCACATTCCTTTGTTTTCAGTGTTCGTCAAAAGAGTTAGATCTGAATTGATATAAATATAAAAGATTTATGATTATTTTTGTAATTTTCCCATTTTCACATTGATAAATAAGACATAGAAAAACTCAACTCATTATAATATTACCGATTTAAATACACGTGTATGTCATATCATTATATTTATAATAGTGGGGGATCATGGGACAAAAAAATAAATTTACTTGGTTTCGTGTGATGATGCCCTTAATTATTTTTTAATCCACCACCCAGTAGAATGAACCAGACATTACAGCCGACCATCAACCACATTCTGTTGTCTTTCTTAGCAGCACGCCGTTCGTCGAGCCAATTTGTGTTTCCAATGGAACCCCACCACCGGGATTGTCACTTTGGCCACCGGTTTTTGGTGCACGCACCATTTTTTCAGTTTTTTCAAAGCCGAGCAGTGAGAATAATGAAGATGTTAACCTGCCCACGCGGCTCCACACGGCGCTCTGAGCTCGCAGGCGGTGACCGAATCTGCAAAAGTTATGAACACCCGATATGAAAAGCTTTGGAAGACATAAAGATCAGCCTCAAGCGCCCCCATCCACATTAGTACTAGCCTTGATGATCTCTCTGCTCAAAACCCAGCCATCCTCTTTTGACAACACATATTTCAATTTCCCATCCTTTGGCTCTGAGAGCCTCAAGCTCGTAAGACATTCAAGGAATACCTATGTACCGTCTACTTACCTATATCTCAGCCTAAGCCACCCGAACAGGAGCCTCAATGACATCAGCGGCGGAGCTACGTATTCCTGGAAAGTGCATCTTTGGGATGAGGCGACGGGGAATCCAGTGGTTATGGCTAACTGATTTACGTTCAGCATCAACTCTCAATAGAGAAGGGGTGAGTAACCCGGGGAAGACGCGAACTAGCTTTACTCAGCCGGTTCAAAACCGGTTCACAATGGGACCTGTCTAGTTACCTATTCTCAATTTCAAGGCCGGTTTCAGGATGGAACAGGGATGGAACCAGGACCGAACCGGTTCACCGCTTGTTGGCTGGGTCCTTTTTCTTTGTGCGGCCCAGCTGACGTGCTAAAAAAAGAAGAAAAGGAGGCCAGGAAGTCAAAAGAATAAAAAGGGAGGGCTGTTTCATGGAGAGCAAGTGGAGAAGAAGAGAGAGAGCGCGTTCCTCTGTCGCGTTCACAGAGGAACGCGCGGAGAAGAAAGCAGAAGGGGCTACGGCTTTTGGTCTAGATTCAAAGGCCAAATGTTGTCAGAATTGGCTCAAATTTCAGTATATTGTTCGTGAGATTGAGGCGTACGAGTTGATCGGTTTTATTCGTTGAAAATCTTCTCCAAATTGTCTTTCCTTTTATCCAATCACGGTTAGAGTTCTTGCTCGAAGTACTGTCGTATTGTTGATGTTGAATCTTGAGCGTGTGACTAGAGAAGAACTTTTGTGTATCATCTATTCTTGATAATTAGTGAAAGCTTTTGAGTGATTTGTGATTTTTTATGCATTGGGTTTTTCACGTAAAATCTTGGTATCGCTGTTACTTTTATTTCTTTGATATTCCAACATTACATTTACTCATTTTGAGGTTGCATTCCTGGAATATATTGCTGGTTGTTGATAGGGTTAATCGATTTTGGTCAATTTAATTTTGGGGAAGAAATTGATCCTAAATTGAGTTAGTTCTTGGTGAATCGTTATTCTCCTTAGCAGCCCTAATCATAGATAAGTTCTTTTTGACTCTTTTTCTTCATTAGTCTTGCCGTGTCTGTCTCTCATCTCATTCTTATACTCTAACCTTCCTCCCCGACTACAGCAAGATCCTCTTCGACATTGTTGATGCCTCGACATCAACAAACTCGATGCCGAGGCGTCGCTGACAATGTCGATGACAATGTCGATGACTCGACCTCAACGCCGACGCATCGCCGATCCTCTCAGATTCGCCAGGCCACCGGTGACCCCACGCATCAGTCCCGGAGGCTCGATTCCACTCGGAGGTAATCTCTTTATTCCTCGTCCCCTCGAAGCACTCAAACTCTTGTTTTCTTAGCCTTCTTTTGACTCCTGCTTGTGCACTTTCTATATTCATACTGAAAATTTGAAGGACTTGAACAAGGTCATTAAGGGCCCTTAGTTTAGGGGTAATTGGCATTTTTAGTAAGTTAAGGTTGCCCTGTTGTGGTGCCTATGACACCAATAGTCATAAGGTGATTTATATGATTGCGGCCAATGAAGCGAGGTCTTGCCGTGGAAGTTAATGGGTCTTTTTAGAGGATAACGGACACTTAATCCTACGATTACTACATGGACTATTGACCCCAAAGTTTCAGAGAGTCTAAACCATTTGACCTTTCTATGTGAGATTTGGTCCTCAAGTTTCGATATTGCGCGCGTTTCTGAAGCTAACTTTTGACCTTATGGGTGATCATAGACAATTAGACATGGATGAAGTGTTTTTTTTTTGTGATGCCATCAAAGCCATGTGAACTTTCCTCTTGGTTGTGGCCAAAAGAAGACACTTGGTTTCTCATGAGACATTCTACTGAGAGTAGCTTTAGAATTAGTTGGTGACTGTTGATGTGTTCATGTTTGCCAGAGGCGATGATGTTGGTGCCGCGGCTGCCATTGTTGCTGCATTGGTGCTTCCCATCATCCTCCTTTATAAATTTGGCTTCTGGCGACTGCTCTGGATGGCATTGCTTAGTTTCTGGCGACTGCTCTCGGGGTTGGCATTGCTTAGCTTCTGGCTACTGCTCTGGGTGGGATTGCCTGCCATGACCGTGTTTGGATTGATCGTATTGGGAACGAACGCTGTTGATTGGGTACGTGATTGGTCAGAAGTTGCCCGTCCTCCCATGAGCAACGATACGCCAGTGGGAGGTAAAGCACCTACGACAACCGGGAGAGGTGGAGAAGAAGGCAACGATAGCACGACGGAAGAGTTGGCAAACTCATGTGGGCCCAAGAAGTTCTCCTATGCAGAGTTGAGGATCGCGACCAATTCTTTTGCAACTGACCAGAAATTGGGAGAAGGAGGTTTCGGGATCGTGTACAAAGGGCACATAGGTAAAGATCGCACACCGGTCGCTGTGAAGAAAATAAGATCTGGTTCCTGCCAAGGGAGAGAGGAGTTTATATGCGAGGTGAAATCGTTGAGCCAACTTGGGCACAGACACTTGGTGCAACTTAAAGGCTATTGTCACGAGGCGAATAAATTCGTCCTGGTTTACGAATTCATGAGACAAGGTAGCTTGGCGGATCACCTGTTTGAAAACAAACCCTTGTTGACATGGAAAAGGAGGTACAACATCGCTCTGGGATTAGCCTCGGCGCTGCATTACCTGCACAAACAATTTCGTCGATGCGTGATCCACAGGGATATCAAATCTAGCAATGTCATGCTCAATAAAAAATTCGTGGCCAAATTGGGAGATTTCGGCTTGGCTAAGCTAGTTGGCCACACTAGAGGGCCAAACACGACCGAAGTGAAAGGAACACTAGGTTACTTGGCTCCGGAATACTTTAAAACGGGTAGGGCAAGTAAGGAATCTGACATCTACAGTTTTGGAGTGGTCCTTTTGGAAATAGGATGTGGAAGAATAGCTGTCGACCGAGGACGAGACCCACAAAACCTTGTAGAGTGGGTTTGGAAGAAATATGGGCCAAAGAAGTTGCTCCACGCAGTGGATGAGAGGCTCTGCAAGAATTTTGACAAGAAACAGGCGGAGGCCTTGATGATTGTGGGGCTGTGGTGTACTCATCCCATTGAGTCTCGGCCTTCGATTGAAGCGGCAATGGCCGTTTTGAACTTGATGGCAAAGCCTCCCAAACTGCCCTTGAAGATGCCAAGTTTCAACATATAATTGAGTCAAAGTTCTGGTCTAGATGCATTTGGCTTAGTAGCTCATTTTGGTAATTGCTTATTTTGCTTGCACACTTCATTTCCATTCGTAAGAGTGATATTCCGATTGCAACTCGAGATCCCTTTTGAAATGACACTATTTGACATGATTTAATCTAAATAAATATTTTAACTACCGTACAACACTACTCTTGGTAATAGACATCATCGAGGCACTGTATCTTTCTTCTTATTTTTTTCAGAGCTCACTTATTTAATTATCTAATCATAATTTTTCATTTTATAGATGTATAATCATAGTTTTTCACTTTTAAGGAAAATTACTGCAAGTACCTAAAGTAATATGCTAGTTTCATCCTCTCCTTCTACATATTAATTTGTTTGCCATTGTGAAACAATTTATGAAAATGGCTTTAAGGGCAACTCGTGGATAATGAAGGTGACTAGTATAGCGATGTTTGATGATTCTGGATCTTCTGGTCGCCGAAAACTCATGTCGTGGAATATCCAAGTCAGCAAAAATTGAGACTGGCCTCAATTCCAAGAAGTAGAAAACCAAAGCCCATCCCGCTTGGCCCACTGCCGACGCCAGTGCTGGTGAAGAGTGAGTCGACGGAGACGCGTGGCGGGAGGGCACGTGCAGGGCGCGCGGGGCCGTTGGCTTGGCTGGAAATGGCGTGGCGGAGGTTGGTCGTTGCCAGCCAATCTGACAGGCTCAATCAAAAATCTCTCTTTCCCTCTGCTTTGTCTGCTCTGTCTCTGTGTTTCCGATTTGTTTTTTCTCGAATGTCTGGATAGAAATAATGATCTAATCATTTCGTACGAGAAGAACGGGTATTAAAGACTGGACACTGGCCATAACTTGTCCCGGTACATTTTACTCATGCTTAACTTAATTGGTCATGATTCCAAGTAAGAAGGAGACGAATTTCGACGATGTCCAGCCGTAAGCCAGCCGTAAATGCTTAGCAGGGTAGGCACTAGATTGAACACATTGCCTCTTTGATCGAGGGAGACTTAACCATTATGACCTCCGACACTTTGGTATTTTCTTCAACTTGTAATCCTTCAGACAAGACGACATGTCTCCATTAAAATCGTTTTTCTCTCTCCGTTGTCCATTCGCATGATTGTATGGTGAATATCTGTTCACATCTCCAAACTAAAGCAAAGCCTTAGAACCTATTAAATGGGAAATTATCGATGAAAACAACATGACGATTAGGTGGTGATAAAACATGCTAATTAGATGGAGAAAGAAAATATTTTAAAAAAAGTCAAGTCAGCATTTTTCGTTAGTCAAATTAGACGGAATTAACGGAATGACTCGGATGCACCAATTTGATAAGTTTTAGAACTTGATTAAACTTTTTAAAAGTTATAGGACTCAATTGTAATTTCGCAACAAGTTTTAAAGCTTTCAATACACTTATCTCATTATTTCTAATCCACAGCCCAATCACGCAATCAAAATATAACACTCCAGGTCTATACTGTGTAATATTGTACTTTATCACCTTTGGCGTAACAAAGCTTTACTCAATCACCACATTATGACCTATCAAGCCCATAGTGACCTTCATAGCATATTCTAGGTCTTCCACACCCTCAAGCATCACGGCACGCGCCTCGACCACCAAATTTGATATCTTTGGCAACATACTCCTTGTCTAGCTTGATTTACTCCCTTAGAGTCAGACTTAGATAATAATGACCATCTTTATCTCCTTGTTAAAATCGCTCCTCGAGAACCTTAAGATATATTTCTGGTATCAAATGTAACAATTCGCTTGCTTTTGTTATCCATTACAAGGCAAAGCATGCTTATCTGAATCAGAGCCGACTCTCGATCACGTGTGGGGCCACAGTGATGGCGTTGTGCCTGTAAGAGGTGGAGAGTATGACGGCTCAAGAGACGGTACGCGGGGAGAAGGGATGGCGGCGCGTCCGCGCCTTGGTCCTTGGACGTGCGCAGAGAAGGGAGGGCGAGCCTCTCTTATCCCACATCGCCTGGGGGGAGTCCTGGACTGGCTTATAAGGCTTCTAGTTCTATATTTGTATAACGCGTTTTAAAATCGTGAGGGTCAGTGGATTCAAAGCAGACAATATTACATAGTATAAACCCGGGGTGTACAAATGGGATCAAAGCCGACTCGCGACTGCGTGTGAGGCCATTGTGAGGGCGCTGTGCCCGTAAGGGGTAGAGAGTGTGATGGCCCAGGTGGCGGTTGGCAATGCGTTCGCGTCTCGGTCCTCGGACATGCACATGAAAGGGAGGGGAGCCTCTCTTGTCTCACATCGTCTAGGGGGAGTCCTGGACTGGCTTATAAGGCTTGGGTAATTATATTTGTGCAACACGTTTTAAAGTCGTGAGGGTCAGTGAACCCAAAACGGATAATATTATATAATATAAATTAGGGGTGTTACAGAAAAGACTTTCTTTGAAAAAAAAAAGGTCTTTTTGACACTTTTTGACAATAGAAAGACTTTTTAACGCGTTTTAATTTGCTTTCAAATTGACTGAGCCTCGCCCAGGGAGTGCACTTTATCTTTTCTTTCGTTATTGATTCTGACGCACAGCGGCCATCACTTTTTCTGAGCTGAGCGCTGAGAATGAGGATGAGCCGCGCGGGCCGCTTTGAGCTCCCAGGCGGTGTCCAGATCTGCCAGAAATTTAGAACATCCAACATGAAAAGCTTTGGAGGACATAAAGATCAGCCTCAACCACCCACCCCCACGTTAGTACTACTTGTCTTGATGATCTATCTGCTCAAACCCTTCTCAGCTGCTTCCACTCTACACTTTGACAATCCATGTTTCATGTTCCCATATGGCTTTGCGATCCCCAAGCGCTTAGCCATTCAGGGGAATGCTTCTGAGCGGCCTCCTAACCTCAGCCCAAGCCAGCCAAATGGAAGACTCAACGGCATCAGCGGCCCAGCTACGTATTCCAGCAAAGTGCATTTTTTGGGACAAGGCCACGGGGGATGTGGTGGATTGCGCTACCCAGTATACGGCCAGCACCGACTCTCGACAGGGAAACCCTTTCGGCGATGCACTCGCCATATTTGTCGGTCCTTATTACAGTACAGCTGTGGATTTGGGGAAACTGCATCGGTGGGGCAAGTCCACCTCCGTGTTTGTGGCGCCTTGCACTAATGGGTGTACCGACTGTAAACAGGCAAACACTTCCAGCAACCCTTTCCTTTCTATTGATGCTTCTCAGGGCCATGTAGCTCGTCCCAACAGCGATTGTGTTGCAGTTAACGTTGACCTTGTCAAGAATACGTGGAGTGCGGACGTTCCATGTGTCGGTAAAGATTCAAACGACCCCTGGTCCATGGCCGATGTCCGAAGGGAGATCGTCAAAGTCATGAAGGACGGGTCGGTTGCTAATATTACGTACAACCCGTGTGCGAAAAGTTTTGAGCGTGGTCTGGAGGGATAATGATGGGAATTCCAGTAATGAAGTCAGTCGTCACTACGACGCACGCAGCTCAAGTGCGTATTTGCCAGAGGTGGTGGGTGTTTGTGTCATAGCTCCCCCTGAATCTGCATTTGAGTATCGCTTTGCCCAGACATCGGAATTACGCTTCGGCTCACAGCTTTTGGTGGAAAAGATTACCGACTCTTGGTTGAAGTCGCTACTGTGCGGTGTCGTCGTATTGGTGGTGACCATTGTTGCTTTGGTAAATTATAGGTCAAAAGTCTCCTGTCCAGAGACAGAGAGAGGTGGAGAAGAAGGCAACCGCAGCGCAAAATTAACCGAAGAGTTCGAAAAGTTGAGTGGAACCAAGTTCTCCTGTGAAGAGTTGATGATCGCGACTGATTCTTTTTCACGTGACAGAATTCTGGGAGAAGGGGGTTTCGGGATAGCGTACAAAGGGCACATAGGACGCGCTCGCACACTGCTCGCTGTAAAGAAAATAAAATCTGGTTCACACCAAGGGATAAAGGAGTATATATCCGAGGTGAAGTCATTAAGCCAACTTAGGCACAGAAACTTGGTGCAACTTATAGGTTATTGTCACAAGGCGAATGAATTCGTCCTGGTTTACGAATTTATGAGAGGAGGTAGCTTGGAGGATCATCTATTTAAAGGCAGACCCTTGCTGACATGGGAAAGGAAGTACAACATCGCTCTAGGATTAGCCTCGGCGGTGCACTACCTGCACAAACAATGTAATCAATGCGTGATCCACAGAGATATCAAATCCAGCAACATCATGCTCAATAAAAGGTTTGAGGCCAAATTGGGAGATTTCGGCTTGGCTAGGTTGGTTGACCACACTGGAGGGCCAAAAGCAACCGAAGAGATAGGAAAACCAGGTTACGTGGCTCTGGAATACTATCGAACGGGGTGAGGCAATTAAGGAATCGAATGTCTACAGTTTTGGAGTCGTCCTTTTGGAAATAGAATGCGGGAGAAGAGTCATCGAAGACCAAGGCCACCTTGTTGAGTGGATTCGGGAGCAATATGAGTAGGGGAAGTTGCCTGAGGACTCGAAGCTCAGCAGAGATTTCGACAAGAAACAGGTGAAGGCCTTGATGATCACGGGGCTTTGGTTTGCTCATCCCGATGTTAGCCATAGGCCTTCGATTGAAGAGGCAATGGCCGTTTTGAACTTGAGGGCAGATCTTTCCAATCTCCCCTCAGATCTGCAACGGTCTCAATGGGAGGTCTGGTCTGGAGGCCTTCGGTTTTGGGCAAATGCCTCGCTCTGAGTGCAAGAAATGATGCCTCTTTTGGCGTTGCAAGCATGTCATCTTCAAGCAGAAGGTTACGCTTGTGTATATACGTTTATTATGTGTCTCTTAATGTTGCCTTTGGTTTCCGAAGTTGACGGTTACGATATCCATGGATAGTACAGAAAGATGTTCTTCAGGAGTGCTCGTTGTCTGTTCACATTCTCAGTACTGCATATTAGTACGGTAGCGGGATACTGGCCAAGCAGTGAATTGAAGAAAAAGAAACAAGAGATTCTTGTAGCAGCTCTTGCA